GGGAGCCGCATTTGAAGTGTTGCCAACAACAACCAAAAAAAAAAAAAAAAAAAAAAAAAAAAAAAAAAACAAAAGAGGGGGAGGTTATTTAAAAAAATGAAGAGTTGAAATTTTTTTTTTTTTTTTTTTTTTTTTTTTTTTTTTTTTTTTCATTAGAGCTATTTTGATGAAGGTTATCGGGATAATCGTAATAACCAGCTGTTCAAGCACAAAGGAATTTCAGACATTACCCTGAAAGTGTTCGTCACGCAGCAGATCCGCCTTCTTATTCGCAGTGATTGTATGAAAAGGCAAGTCCCAGGCGCAGTTACGTCTAGGCAGTGGTTTTGGAATTCGTGGGGGAGAGACTCCGTTTTGGTTAAATTGGATTCTGTAGGTAAATTACAGTTCTGTCCGTGGCTGTTGTCGCCTGTAGGACATGGGGAACGCTTTAGCTCCCCTCCTTAAACCACCAGTACTTGGGCGATGCCTTAGCGTTAACGCTACGTGATTTCCGCGGCCGGCGGGCCGTCGATAAATCGAATCAACAGCCCGCCCTGCTTTGAGATTTGGGCGGCCGGCGCGGCGCGCAGTGCCCAAGTACTGGTGGTTTAAGAATCCCTCTTAACCAGGTTGGAGCAGGGTTGGTGGTGTGGTGCTTTTGGATGAAATATTTGCCTGTGCTTGCCCCCCTTTTTTTTCCCTTTTTTGGAGGGCCTTTGATCAGTTGAAGGGACACTGGACCCGGTTTCCAGGAGCCTAATCTGGGTAATGGCCCCAGCTACTCTCGGGATTTGTGGGGTTTCCCGGCCCCTGTTGTCCTTTCGACCTTGGAAATTAAAGTTTTACACGTTCTCCAAAAAAAAAAAAAAAAAAAAAAAAAGGAAAGGAGCTATTGTTTGTCAAACTACGTTGCTTTCACAGTTGGGCAGTTAAAATGGCAGCTACAAATCGGGCGTTAAAGCGCAAAAACTCTAGTAGGTAGTGAACAAATGAACAATTTGTGGAAATGCTCAAGTATCTGATCACAATTACAGGCCAGATTCATTCAGTTCAAAAGTCTGCGTACGATTCACAATTACAGGCCAGATTCATTCAATTCAAACAGTCTGAGTACGATGGCTGTTAAGGTAGAGGGGCATTATTTCTGATAGCTATGGCAGCTTGTGAAGTGGCAGTGTTGTTCGCATATTTGCTCAGGATCGGAAGGATATCTTTCTCGTCAAATGACGTTGCTTTCACACTTGGCCAGTTGACGGCCGCAGCAAACCACACCCTGAAGCGCGAAAATTCCGGTGAGTCGGGAACGGACAGTTCGCGGAAATGTTTGAGAACGCCATGTCGCATCGCAAATGGAACGAGCGCAATGTCGACGATGCCGAACTCTTCCCCCATGAAGAAAGGACCGTCCGGCGATATTCCCTCCATAGCGCTGGAAAGCTCTTTGATGTGCCCGAGATACTCGCTCTTCGCCTTCTCTTGTCCTTCTGGATCTTGTGTCTGCAGTATATCAATCAGGTTCAATGTATAGGTAAGATAAAAAAAAAAAAAGAGATAGTGAGGTCGGTCCAGATGACCGCATCGATCCGTACATTCGCATTGGAACATACGAGAGAACTCACAGCGTAAAGCACTGTCAAAAAAGATAGTCAAACTTTCACAAACTCAAACGAAGCATCGCTTTTTTTCTTTTATTTTCTTTTCTTTTTCTTGTTTTTCTTTTTTTTCCTTCGTTAAAAAAAAAAAAAAGAAACTCAAACAAAGCATTGTGCATTGAAGTTAATGAGACAGCATGAAACCCGACTCCAAGCACATTTGAGATCTTTCGGTCACATCACCTGGCGGCTCCGTCCCGGCCATCCTTAGGGGGAATGATTCGATGTAGTCAGGAGGATAATTATTTAGCTTATTATTTAGTAACCTTGCTTTTTTTTTCTTTTTTTTTTGCATTCTCTTAGCCCCTCTTTTCTTTTTTTAATTAGTAACTTTTGATATGTTCATTTGTCTATTTAACTTTTTAATTAGTAAAACTTGAAGATGGGCTACCAGCTGGCCTGTACCTTGGTTGCCCATGCAGCCCAGCTATGCAAGGGTCAAGGAAGATAACACAAAATAAACATAAAAAAAATAAAAATCTGAAGACAAAACTATGTGTGTCGTAGAAAAATAAACTGAACAATTTTATTTTATTTTTTTTTGAAGAAGCTAAATCTTTATTAACATCAAAGCTGGGAAACGCGCCCGGCGTCCCTTCCATAAACCCGCCGCAGCCCTGAGCTGAGCAAGGCTCTCGGGCCAGTCAAACCTCATGCCACAACTGTGTGAAGGGCAAAATTCCTTCTTCTCTTAATCTCTTCCACCTGTTGTACAATTATTCTAACATTGGCCGCAACATCCCATCCTACAGTAACCTACCCTATCCAACTATTAAAGAGTTACGAACAGTTGTTGCAGATCCACAACGTACTGTATTCTAACTTTAGTTCTAATATCCTATACACTCTGTATATGGGACGCTGGACCCGTTTTCCGGCAGGTGATGCTCCCCACCAATAGATGGAGCCCCTCCCCGGGTGCTAAAAAAAAATAATAATAAAAAATAAAAATAAAAAAACATCCTATAGCGGTAACTTCAGTAGAGTCACAAACAGGAGTTATAATGGCGCTAGTATGGGGCAAGATACAGTTTGCAATTGCACTTTGGGCACCCTAGCTGGCCAGAAAACTGGTTTGTATACATTGCCCGAACTGCAATTCGAAGCTGTATCTTGGGGAGAGACGAGAAGCAATTCACGTAGAAGACTTGAATCTGCTATGGCGCTAATTGTACTCCGTGATTGACTATCTGCATACTTAGCTCTCACTCAAAATATGCCGAGTCTGAAAGCAACCTACTATGTAACCATTCACAGGTACTGTAGCCATAAAGAATCAAATTAGGGGAGAAAAGGAAAGGATCACAAACAAAGCATGAGGTAAATGCACAGCGGCTGTGTGTTTCTTGTGGTTGTTGAGATGGTTAGTAGTAGTCCTGGCGTTAGTGGTTGGATTGAGATCTCTGAGAGTCTTGAAAAGTAAAATTCTTACTGTCTCTGTTCTGGCGCGGGGATTGCTCTTAGTGTTTCGTTTTCAGAAACACGTATTGCTGCAGCAGCTTAGGATTAAGAGAGAGGGATAATCGATCTTCCGGAATTCGGGTTGGTCCCCTACTTCTTGCTATCAGACATTATCTGTGATACATGGGAGTAAACCTCTGATTTCTTCTCCTTGTCTGTTTTAGGTATTTTTGCCTTTTGGCAAGTTGGTTTTCTTTGTAGTCATTATAAGAGTAGCTAGCATGAAGGACCAGTGGGAACACTAATGGTTGGACGATATGAGAGACCCAGTGAAGAGCACACTAGAGTTGTATCCATTGGGTGCGTGGTGCGAAACCCGTCTAGGCAACAAAGGCTCTTTACAGTGCTTTGGACAGTGATGATGAGAGGGTAACC